CTCATAAGAAACCATTCACATGCCAATTTGGTAAGGCGTTGAGATTGTGATTTCCCGTTAAGGTGTCGTAGCATAATGATCGTCCGGTTGGTGCATAATGATCATCAAGAAGTTTCTTCATATATAGGTTGTGCAGGCCCCCTATGTATGTCGTACCCAATAGGCCGAATCCGATCATTCAAGGATTTCCTAGTTTGAAGCTATCCCAATCCGGCATTTGCTTAAAAGAAGTGGTCTGTGGGAAAGATCTACCGAAGCCATAGGTGGTGACAAGGAGCAAGTATTCCCCCCAAGGGTCCAAACGAAAAGTATCGGGGTATCCGGAAATCCTAATTAACCTCTGCGGGATAGACATAAGGCCTCAAGACCAGATTATAGGTTAGGTGGTTTAAACTAGTGGTAGGAATTCCCCCCCTATAAAAACCCCACCCAACATGTTGGATCCACTTTTGGTGTAAAAATTCGTATAGTTGGATTCTTAAGATGGATAGTAAGCTATTATTCAGACAGAGTAGTGTTAGTTATAGTTAGAACTGTCATCAGACACAATCGACAAACAAAACAATTGTTCCAATTGTAAAAGCCACTTGATGTACTTCCATTACAAAACAATAAAAAAAGATTTGCATCATTGCTTGTTCATCTAAAAAAAAAAAAAAAAAAAGATAATAAAATAAAATAATTTGAATATAACAAAAAAATTACTTATATAAACTAAGTTATTTGTTATTTTCTGTTCTTTTTTCTTTTTTTCTACTTCTTTTTCTTTTTCCTTAATTAATCTTATTCTAGATAACCTTTAAAATCCACTTTTTTTTTTTTTCAATTGTTTTTTTCATATTAATTTTTGTACCTTTTATTGATTTGTCTTAATAATTACTTCTCTGATCTCACTTATTATTATACTTTCTTCAATTTAATATATATTGATAATTCTTTAATAATCTTTTATTTTTTATGTTTTCTATTAAGGCTCCAAAAAGTATTGAACTGATACTGAAGTGGTATCAAAATGGTATTGATCTATAATAAATTAATATATAAGTTGTAACCCACTCATATAAATTTATAGTAAATTTAAGTATTGAACTGATATTGAACTGGTATTAAAATAGTATCTAAAGATAGGTTTCTAAATTAAAAATAAGAATATAATTCAAATGTTCCTCACTATTAAAAAAGTTTTTTTTTAAATATAAAATTAAAAAAAAAAACTATCTACAAAGATTTTTTGCAATTTAAGCCACTTGATCTAAATATTTTTTGAATTATATCTCTATTAAAATAATAAATAAATAATTATGTTCTTCAAAAGAGATATAATTGATTTGTGAAATTTTATATATTAAATAATTTAGAGATCCATCTTTAATAGTACTATTAGGAGCCCTATTTTCTATTGATTTTTCAGTTTCTAACCTTAATATTTTTTTTAGCAAGAAACTTTTTTGTAATTTTTGTGATATATGGTCTTGTATTGTTATGTTGAAATCAAGGCTGACCTGTATCAATTCAATTCATCATGGGAAAATTATAAAAAGTTGGCAAAAGATTCTTCTCAAGAATTTTGATATAGGATTTTCCTAAAAAAATGGTAAAAAAAAAAAATTCATTTGTTTTCTTTTTTTTCTTTCATTTTTTTTTCATTTTTTTTTATGTTTTCATTTTTTTTCATTTTCATTTTTTTTTTCATTTTTTTTTTATTTTTTATTTTGTTTTTTCTTATCTATACACAGGAAAACTCGATAAGTCAATCTCTTGATAAGTTAGTTTTGGCCTAAGTCGGCCAAATAGTTTCAGCCCTTTTTTTCAATATTTAAAAAACCTCGATAAGTCAATCAATATATGTAAAGTCTCGATAAGTTGTAAGTCGGCCAATCTTCTTTAATGCTATATATAAATTATACTCGATAAGTCAGCTACACGTGACATTTGGGAATATCATTACTATTTTAGGCGAGTTTAGTATAATTCGTCATCAAATCTTCTACCTGCCGGTTAAACACGAAAAAAAAAAATTAAAAAAAACAATACTGAAACAAAAAAAAAAAATCAAATTCACCAACGTTGTTTCTTTCTCCACGATCGATTTCCATTGCATTCACTGACTTCTATTCTCTTCGTGGCAGTGATTGCTTCTAAAAACAGTTATCCTAATCCGAACTTTAGGGCATAAAAAAAGAGGCAACTTGTAATTCAAGATTGATATGTTATGTAATAGAAAGTAAGTATTCGCGTAATAAAACATTTGATATGCATACAATATATGAATATATGGATTACGCGAGTTCTCATCAATTTATTTAAGTTGCAAATCACAAAAGAAGGGATCCTATAACGAGATCTCTATGAATTTTATTTCTTACTGACTTGTTCTATAATCCAAAATGGAATGATTTCAATAATAGTGTACTCATTAATCACCACCATTGATTACAAATGTAGATGAACATTGACTAGACCAAATATTAGTTGAATCTGAAGAGGTTAAGTGATTCACGGAGAAGAAAAACAAGATTAAATCATTTAATGTGGTTAATCGTTTATAGAGAAAAATTTTTTTTTCCTTTTGGAGTTAATTTTAACTATGTACAGTTATAGGAATTGAGAATAAAATTATTTGCAAATTCTCATCCAAAAGTGATGAGGATTATTTTTCTGTGAATTAACGCTTACTAACGTGGTGATGATGGCTTTGTGTCTAATGCGAAACGTACTCTATGAACACCATGCGTGGGCTGTTGATCGACAAACAACTTTTGTTCAGAATTCAGTGAAACAAGTTTCTCTTTCACATTAGGTTGAGGTAACTTGTCCGTAGCTACATAAAAATTATTTAATTAGTATAAGGATAAAAAACATTGATACATTATTATACATCCAATGACCTTACTTTTTTTATGAGACGTCTCTTCCAAGATAAGTTCAATATCACTGTCACACTCCATGTCTTGAGAATGTTGTGAGTCACGATCCCCCTCATTTGCCTGACCAGCCTTTTGAACAGGTAACTTTGCAATAGAATCTCTTTCCAAATTAGTATTATTCAATGATCCTCTTGGTTCTACCATTTTTACGAATGTTTTCTTTTGTTGGTCATGTATTTTGACGTTTTTTTTCGAAGAAGTCTGCGACAGAGAACCGCTCTTAACTTTGGTTTTGTCTGTGGCTTCTGAATTCAAAACACTAGTGGATAAACCTTTGTTCGTTTCTTTTTTGCTGTTAACTCCCTTCGAATTCCGAATTTCTTAAATATTCGAGGAATATTTAGACAAATAAAGAATTTCGACGAGTGAATATAAATCCACCTACCATCAATTTTCGAGGATATTGGAACTCTATCGATTCTCTTTTCATTTTTGTTGCTTCTCGAATCGAAGTCAATCTGTTCGTAGACGCGTGTTTTTTCTGTTTCAAGTTTTTTTTTCGCGGTTTTAAACAGTAACACGAAAAGTTCTCTCAATTCGCGAGACAGATTGGGAAGATCATTAACGTCAATTAAATTAGTGCCGTTAGAGTCAATTTGGTAATCGGTAATTTCTTCCTTTAAACGTGGTTTTATCGCGTCCATTTCCGACAGTGCCTGAGAACTTTCTGCGTGTTTACAAGTCATCACATCTAGTGGTCCATGTACACTTTCCACACTCCGCATAAGCAGGCATTCGGAGTTAGTCACGCACCATTCGTGATTCGCTAAACTGAGATGAATGTGCGAATCCATTTTTGAAATATATGAGTGATATTTTCTTTTTTTTTTTCCGTTTCTGGTATTGAAGATGAAAACATTCTATCAAGTAGTAAAAGTAGTTATACTGAGGTTCGCGGGTCGGCTACTAATAGGAGTGAGGCTATTTTTCCCTTTAGGCTTCCTATAAACATTCACATTACGTAGGTTTGTGATAATGCGTTTTCTGGATCAACTCTCCTTAGTAACCTTCCAAATCTGTGTACATACGCTCCGACTTTATTACCGTCTCTCTGAATAAGGGTGTTAAGTTCTATTTGCCACTGGTTCTTTCTCTCGGGGTGGCAAAATATTGGAGAAATGTGGGCACGAAGGTTTCATCGAGATCCCTACCATCATCCCAACTTGTGAATACATTTCTTTTATCATGGTACCAGTCTGTGGCGATACCAGATAAATAGCCCGAGATGATACTAATTTTTTGGTGGTTGGTTTAATTATTGGCAAATTACATGGTTTTTTTTTTTAATTTTATTATTCTCTTTTTACACAATAAAAAATTTAAACGATGAGGAAGGGAAATTAAGAAGAAAAAGGTAAGTTAAATAAAACTTGTTTAAATCATCCGTGCATTTTTTCTTTGCTTTCACATTCCATGATTACTAATAAGGCTTTTCTATTAATTAGACAGGTTTATTCTCGCGGATTTTGTATTAGCTAATCTTTGTTCATGTGAAATATTTGGTAGTGATCGTGGCGTTACGCTAATCATGTAACGCCGAAAGTCGTGTTTAGCATTATTTTACCTACTACAATATATTGGTTAATAAAAAAATTTTTTTAATAATCTTTGACTTATACAATATCTTAGCGTGCTCAAATTACATATAAAAAGATTAACTTATGTAAATTTTGCATTGTAAAGTAATAAAATTCTTTTCGAAAAACAAACTTACGATTGTAATAATCATGAATGCCGAAAGATTGTCTAGCAAAGGTGGAAGTCAAATAGGAAGAAAATTAAATACACTCACTAATATTCAAAAGAAAGAGCTATGCGAATACAAGATTGCTAATCCATTTCAATCAAATGAAGAAATTGGTAAAAAATTTGGAATTGGTAAATCGACAGTGGGAGGTATTCTTAAAGAGAAGGCAAAATGGCTTGCAGTCAACGTAAATTCAACTCCAGTTAAAAGAGATCGCGGAAGTGAATGGCCACAATTGGAAAATGCACTAGCAATTTGGATAGATCATGCTAATCAATCAAATTATACGATAACGGGTGCTATTATTTGTCAAAAGGCAATAGATTATGCCAGAAGACTTAATCTTAATGGATTTTCGGCATCACAAGAAAGTATTTAATTGTTACTAAATAAGAAATAAACTATAATTGCATAATAATAAACATTATTTAATTATCATTTATTTAATAGGGATGGTTATCGAACTTTAAAAAACGAAAACAAATAAAGGAACACTATAAGTCAGGTGAAGCGGCAAGTGCACCACTCGATGATTTACCAGCATTTAGAACAGAGCTTAAGTTGTTAATTGCACAATATGATTTAAATGATGTTTATAATGCGGACGAAACTGGCCTTTACTGGAAATTAGAACCAAATAAATCTCTTTCCAGCGGTCCTCTTATTGGTACAAAAAAACCTAAAGACAGAGTTACCATAATGCTTGCATGCAATGTAACCGGCACTCATAAATTGCCAGCTGTTTTTATTCATCGATATAAAAATCCAAAGTGTATTCGTAACATTGATAAAAATACACTACCAGTATGGTATTATTGGAATAATGTATCTTGGATGCAACGATCATTATTTCAATCATGGATTAAACGTATCAACGAATTAATGCGAAAACAGCGAAGACATATTTTGCTATTAGTAGATAATGTTTCTTCTCATAAATTAGAAGATAGCGAAGTATTAAGCAATATCAAATTGCATTTTCTTCCACCCAACACCACTGCTCACCTTCAACCAATAGATCAAGGAATTATTCATTCCTTTAAGTCTAATTACAGAAAATATTTATGTAAAAATAGAATTGACGCATTTGATCAACATCAAGAACATGGAACCGAAATTCCTACTCTTAATATCTTAAATGCAATTGATTGGGTTACAGAATCGTGGAAGAATGTAACTGAAGATGTAATATACAGATGTTGGAAACGAACTGGTATTCTGCTTGATGAGTTGGAAGATATTAATGATGAACAACTGGATGATGAAATTGAGATAGAAAATGAAATCGTTCAATCACTTATTGATCAAATGGTTGTTGATAATACTATCGTAAAAGCAGAAGATTATATCAAGATTGATAATATTTTAGAAACAAATGATATACTCAATGATGATGAAATTATTGCAGCTATTCAAGAGGCGCCTGAGAATGAAGAAGAAGATAAAGATGAAAGTGAAGCGTTGATGATATCTAACAAAGTCGCTTTAGAAAGTATTCAAAATTTATATAATTATTTACAACAGCATAGCGATATAAAAGTAAACAGTTTATTTATTTCAGGATTAAGAGACTTAAAATGGAAAATTGATAAAAAAAGAATAACTTCTTTAACGCAAACTAATATGGATATTTATTTGGAATAATTTATTTTTTATTTATTTATTTTTATATTATTTTATATTATTCTATATTACTGTATTATATAAATAAAATTTTAATATATTAATTATATAATTCTTGATAACTAGTTCTTTCGATAAGTCAGTTCTCTCAATAAGTCAGCCTATTATGTCCAGCCATGCATGGCTGACTTATCGAGTTTCTCTGTGTATTAAATCAGCATGAGCAGAGTTTTTTTCAATTGAACAAAATGAACTATCATTGACGTTAATGGGAATTTTGAATGTTGAATGAGCCGTCCGACCATCACTGAGCAAAAGAGCGGCGATGCCTGAGGAAGCCACACAAATCGCGACCATGCCTTCACTGCGAACCTTCATGGCA